TTACGTTTCTTAGTACAGATTAAAAAATAATATCCTCGATTTATAGCGTTATTTGGCGGGAGGAGATGGGTCAGCAGATGAAAAAAATATGTTGTTGTCTTGAGTAGTTTTATCGAATTTATTTCTTTTCAAATGTTTTCTTCCTGTTTTTTTTTCTTTTTCAGGTGCAAATTATCTCTTAATTTCATCTGCTTTTTCTCAATTATTTTTCATTATTTTCATTAAAAAAAAAACATCAGAGAAAAGCAGAATTGAGTCAGAGTAATCAAACCCCAGTTTCTAGTAAATTTCGACGCGTTTTTAATTGTGGTGGCAATTTCAATATTAAAACTTGTATTTTTTTCAATTTGTTAATCATAAATATTGATCAACAAAAATTCAGTATTGACCAGAAATTTAAAAAATCTTACAGTATTTTCGAATTTATCGCTAACATTTTTGTCGAGATTTACAAACTTTACTTTTCGTTCAATTTTGCAAACCAATCGATGAAATTTGAATAAACTGATTAGTTTGGAAAAAGACTTTGACAAAAAAACCTTACTTCGCGGTTTAATAATTTCTTTATTTTAATTTAATTTTATAGGACTTCATCGTAAACAGTATTTTTAAGAAAATTTCTTAAGATTTCTTACTCTTGAGCATGCAACATAGAACAGGTCATGCGTAAATATTTTTTTCCTAGAGCCAGATTCCAACATTTTAAAGCCTTTGACTATGCGTTTTATTTATGGTTCTCTTAAATGGAGGGCAACTGGACATTGGATTCTTGTCCATTTGAAAGGATATTCGGATTGTTTAGGAATAAAATTTAATCTTGTGATAATACCGTCTGTCCTGTTCTAAATACGGTACATTATAGTAATCTGTTATCAACAAACTTGTTGAACGTAAAAGTTATTCCATTACATAAGCCTTCCCGAAGATTTATATTGCTTAATATCATTAATGGCATTTTTGGTTTCAACAATAGATTGTGTCTTGGATGTCATTTGCATTAACAAGGCTATCTGCACTCTTCAACTTTATTCCAACCAATCAGGAATTGTCTCGTTTATATCACTACTACTCTTGAAATTCTCTGTCCATTTGAAACTCTCCTGACTGTGTTTATATTTACAGGGCTACCCTCGAGCATTATATTTTACCGGAATGAAATGTATAGAAAAACTTAAAGAAAAGATATATATATATATATATATATATATATATATATATATATATATATATATATATATTTTATTTTTATTAAACAAGTACTTTCTTTTAATCATTAAATTGTTTTTTTTTTTAAATACTACTAGGGAGTATTTTGAATGTTAAATAATAAAACTTAATTTTTTTTTAAAAAATTAAAATTTATTGTACTAAGCTACGCACCTTAGTAAAAACAAATGTACTCTGTACCCCCTTACCTGTTTGCACTTCTCCCTAAAATTTGCTTTCCATCAGTCAATGAATGGCTATTTTAGAGTGTGACGGACGGACAAACGGAAATCACAGAATTTTATATATAGACTAAAATACCGGTGAGCCGTTCGGTCACTGACGGTTTAGGTTATAAAACATTGAAATGAATTTCAGCATTAAAATATTGTTTTTTAAGATAAAAATATTTAAAAAAAAAATAGTTAAAATAAAAATAGTTAAAAAAAATAGTTAAAATAAAAATAGTTAAAAAAATTTAACTATTTTTATTTTAACTATAAAACTATAAACTTTAAATAAAAATAGTTAAAATAAATAGTTAAAATAAAAATAGTTAAAAAATAGTTAAAATAAAAATACTGAATAAACAACTCGTATTTTTAAATCTTATTCACTTAAATTAGATTATTACATTATGCACCGGACGGACGGACCACGCAAGATGGAAAGAGAGAGAGGGAGGTGGAGAGAGAGAGGTGGAAAGAGAGAGAGAAATGTGGAAAGAGAGAGAGAGAGGCGGTAAGAGAGAGATGGGGAGAGAGAGACAGAGAGAGCAATTGATCCAGGGGAAGGACTATTCTGAATTCAAAACCTGCGGAGGGTCGTTTTGGGACCTTGTGACACGTAGTGCACCAGGTCTCTGTATTCAGTATGGTTGGTTCTGCACAAAGCCTTCAGCACTATAATCAAATATCATGTGCTGGTGTCGGGCTGTCGGTTCCTAGGAACTGATCTGCTTGACCCTCATACGTCGAATACGACGCGAGAGCCCGCTATATATATATATATATATATAGAGAGAGAGAGAGAGATGAAGATACTGTTACATGTAGACATAATGAAAGCTCTACTTGACGCATCGTTACTCTTGCTTTAAATCCGTATCTTCCAAAAGAACACCTGCCAATGATTGACGTTTAGCATGTACGTTTCGTGGGCCATTTTTCGTGTATATGTGATTTACTGGTTATTAAGTAAATCAGGTGTTGTGCCAAAATTTAATATATCAAACTTTACACCGAGCGTAATAGAAGCCTTAATTCTATTTAGAATCCTGTGTCTAATTGCATGTACAAATACATACAATTATATATAAATAGGCGCTTGTCACAAGCACCTAACGATCGCATTAGTGGTTGAAAAGTGAATTCGCGGTGATGTTTTCGAGTATCGAATACTTTTCGATGAGATTCTCGTTCTATTCGAGATCAGTTTTCTTACTGGAAAGTTTTAGCTTATTAACACCGTGTAACTTATTAAGTTCAGATTAATTTTTTTTTTTAGTCCAGGAATAATTTTTTGAGATAAACATTTTCTGATACAAATTCTGCTATTGCTATTTAACGCATAGCTGGAAGGATAAGTGGTAGATTCATACCACCCCCAATGTATATAACGAACCTGACTGGAATTCGAACTCTTCCCTCCGATTTCTAATTCCTAGTCGTTCTGCATTACACCATCCTCACACCCAAGCATACAGCACCTTGTATTCTCGAGTGGTCAGTCATTTAGATACTCGCCAGGCTCGACGTTGCTTAACTTCGGTGATCGGATGAGGTTACATTATGGTAGATTACTTTGCGTACTTTTGTCATTTTCTGTGGGTCCTCATCCGATCACCGAAGTTAAGCAACGTCGAGCCTGGTCAGTACCATGATAACATATATAAATACTGATAAAAAAATATCGTGACCTTTGCTATGGTAACGGAATTAAAATATGCAGTATGAAGCCGCTTGATACAGATTGATGGTATAAGGCTCTCGCTGACTTCCTTTGTTCTTAGCAGTGCTTCGAAAAAAATGTGTAGAATGTGGTCATCTTACTAAAAGCCAAAAGTAGCATCAGTGACCATGGCTTGCACAACATTCCACGAGTCCAACAATTACCATATTCCAGAAATCTCGACGCTTGCGACTCTCTCCTCTTTCGAAAAATCAAATCCCACTCAAGATGTCGAGGAAATTCAATAGAATGCGACGAAACAGCTGCTCGCTATTCCAAAAAGAAGTTCTAGGAATACTTCCATGAATGGAAACGTCGCTGGATCAAGTGTATGGATTCAGAAGCAGAGTACTTCGAAAGAGTTTCAATACTGAATTGATATGTGGTGTAGTTTGCTTTTTATAGCATCACTCAGGATACATTTTGATCTGATATCATATACATAGATTGATAGATAGACAGACAGATAGATATCGATCTAAAAACTATTACTTTTGATGGCGATTCCCATATATATATATGGGAATCATATATACCAGTAAAAAAGAATTCTCTTATTACTATATTTGTACAAAAACGCACAACCTTAAAATTTAAATTCAAACCCAGCGTTGTGACCGCACGTTCCAAAACAATAACACATTTCTCATAGCATTTTTTCGGATTACATCTCTATTTTCGTTGTCCTCTTATTACCGAGAAGTAAAAACAAAAACAAATCTATTTCCATGCCTGATGATGTCTGTAGGAACAGACGAAAGCTTGTAAAAAAATTAAAAAGACCTTATGCAACTGGAATTTATGAACAGGGATCATATCATTCATATACAGGTTCGGGGTTGGTGTACCTTATTTATATTGTTTGCGAAGATGTATTGTCGCCATTTAAATCATTAACCTCTATATTTGTTTTTTGTATGAATGATTCATGAATATATATATATATATATATATATATATGGACACACACACAGACATATATATATATATATATATAGAAAATATATATATGGGACAATGGGACACTTACCCAACGTGTTTTGTCCTCTGATGGACAGTATCAAGCCAACATATGTACTTCGAAAGAGTTTAAATGCCGAATTGATGTGTTGTACTTTGCTTTTTTATAGCACCACTCCTAAAATTGTATGCGTTCGTGATGAGTTCAGGCTAGCACTGGGTCACGTGGGTGGCTGCTGGAAGACCCTATGTCCGGCAACATGACTTTGCACCATGCCACACAGGCAGGAGAAACCAGTCATGACTGTCAAACAATTTCTACGCCGACATCATTCCTTGCATCTGGCCACCTAACTCCCCAGACTGCACCCCCTTGATTATTATGTGTGGGGTGCAGTTGAGGAAGAGACCAACAAAATTCCTTGTAATACTAAAGATGAACTGAAGTCAAGGATTGTAGCAGCATTCACCAACTTATACAAGGAGACCGTCCAGAAGAGTTTCAAGAGATTCCGAAGTCGCCTGGAGGTCGTGGTTAAAGCCAATGTTGATTTTATTGAATAACTTTATTCTTTAATATTTCAAGATATTTCTGTGTAATTTTGATAAATTTATCTTTTTAAATGAGATGTCAGTGTTATTTTCCTATTTGCGTAATTTCGACGACAATTCATCTATTGATTTTTGTTAGTGAGACCAGGAGAGTGAAGATCTAGATATGTTTGTAATGGTGGGCAGTGAAAAATTAGTTCTCTGCTTTTCTTTCATTTTTCCCTTCTTACAAGTATTCTTTTATTTGTTAATCCTTTTTAAATGTTCTTTCTTTACTCACATTCTTTTAATCTTTTCCCTCTTTAAAATCTTTCTTTTTTTATTTCTAAAAGTTCTTTGTTACTTTCTTCATTTTCTTATTTCGTTTTGAAACGTTCTTTCTTCACTCGTTTCTTCCTTCCTTAAATTCTTTTCATTTTCTTCTTTATTTTTCATTCGTTTTTTTAAAGAGATTTCTTTCTTATTTTATTTATTTAAATGCTTTTATTCCTTTTGAACATATTTTTCTTTCTTTCTTTCTTTCTTTCTTTCTTTCTTTCTTTCTTTCTTTCTTTTCTTTCATTTTTTATTCTTTCTTTTTTTTTATTCTTTCTTTTTTTTTTCTTTCTTTCGTTTTTTTCTTTCTTTCTTTCATGAAGAGATTTCTTTTTTCTTTCTTTTTTTTTCTTTATTTAAATTTTTTTTTTTATCTTTTTTTTTCTTTTTCGAAGGCTTTTATTCTTTCTTTCTTTCTTTCATTTTTTTTCTTTTTTCTTTTCTTTCTTTTCTTTCGTTTTTTTATTCTTTCTTTTTTTTATTCATGAAGGCTTTTATTTCTTTTCTTTTTTCTTTCTTTCTTTCTTGAACTTTTTTTCTTTCTTTCTTTTTCTTTCGAAGGCTTTTTCTTTTTTCTTTCTTTCGTATTCTTTTTATTCTTTCTTTCTTTCTTTCTTTCATGAAGGCTTTTTATTCTTTCTTTCTTTTTTTCTTTCTTTCTTTCTTTTTATTCTTTTCTTTCTTTTCTTTCTTTCTTTCGTGATGAAGGATTTTTTCTTTTCTTTCTTTCGTGAAGGCTTTTTATTCTTTCTTTCTTTCTTTCTTTCGTGAAGGCTTTTTATTCTTTCTTTCTTTCTTTCTTTCGTGAAGGCTTTTTATTCTTTCTTTCTTTCTTTCTTTCGTGAAGGCTTTTTATTCTTTCTTTCTTTCGTGAAGGCTTTTTATTCTTTCTTTCTTTCGTGAAGGCTTTTTATTCTTTACTTTCTTTCGTGAAGGCTTTTTATTCTTTACTTTCTTTCGTGAAGGCTTTTTATTCTTTCTTTGTTGAAAGTTTTTTCTTTCTTTTCCTTTCTTTTCTATTCCGCATGTTTTTTATTCTTTCTTTCTTTCTTTCTTTCGTGAGGCCCAGCTTTATCGCTACAGTCAACTAGCCTTTCTTCTTTCTTCGTAAAGGCTAAAAAATCTAACCAAATGACAAAACTTTCTCACAATTCCGTGAAGGCTTTTTATTCTTTCTTTCTTTCTTTCTTTCCGAAGACAGAGAATTTTATTCATTCTTTCATTCCACCCACTTGTTTATATATATATATAGAGAGAGAGAGAGAGAGAGACAGACAGATTCAGAGACAGAGAGAAAATTTCTTTCTTTCTTTCGCAAGTATAAGGCTTTTATTATATATTTCTTTTCTTTTTCTTTCGTGAAGGCTTTTTATTCTTTCTTTTCTTTCTTTCTTTCGTGACATTCTTTCTTTCTTTCTTTCTTTCTTTCTTTCTTTCGTGAAGAGTTTTTATTCTTTCTTTGTTGGTTTTTTTTCTTTTTCCTTTTTGAATGTAATATTTAACAGTCAACTAGCCTCACTTGAAAAAGAAGAAAAAACATCACAATTTGATCGGAAATCATCCACCCATTATTGTTATATATATATATATATAGAGAGAGAGACAGACAGACAGACAGAGACAGAGAGAGAAATGCAAGTATAAGCCAAGTATATATTTGCGAGGTCAGGTTGATTCACATAAGAGTAATCTAGAGGTTTTTTTCTTTGAAGTAATATAACTGCGAAAAAAGAAGAAAAAATCTTTTGCCCGAAAGATTATTGTTATCAGGCGAGAATAATGAAGAACAAATAAATGCTTGCGTCAGTCCGCGTTCTCTTTTTATATTCGACTTGTTACTAGTAAGATAAGATACACTGACTTGTATCTCTTCTCTGGTCTCTCTGCATTCTGACGAAACGAATATTTTGCCTCTTTCGTTATGAATTTATAGAAGGTTCTACAAATTTACATGCATTGCCAAAACAAATTCTATACCTTTCTTTGTAAAACTGTTGCATTGCTTCTGGAGATGGTTGGACTGGAAACTTTAAAATCAAATCGAATTATGACAATATGAAAACATTCTTGAACATCGCTATTAAAAGGAGTAGTAAATGTTTTCATTAAATAAATTAAATTTTATTAACTTCCGTATAATTATATTCGTTTTAATTACTTTGGAAATTTATCTTTATATTTATCACCGTTAGTAAATAAATAACTTTTGTGACTCAAACGAACCCTCGTATGACACTTTTGTGATGCCAACGAATATTCGTTGTTATTTTCGTAATACTCGTTGTAGTAGAGACTTTGTAATCGCAGATACAACTATATCAACGCCGTTGAACAATACTGGTGTCAGAGGCCTTCGAATAACACTTGCACTAATAGTACTTGCTCGATAATACTCGCTGGAATAGTAATCCGTATAGTGATCCGAATAGAGAAATAGTGTAGTAATAGAATAGAGAATAGCGGTACGTATAGTAATAGAGGATAGAACAGAACTAACGATCCGTATAGTATAGTGGATAGATTAGAACTAGCGATCAGTTAGACGTCACGCGAATTCCTACTTATACGTTTCCTCTATGGTCATATTTAAAAGAAACATATAATAAACGTCGGCACATGTTTACATCGAAACGTTAACGATATATAGATGCTCAGCAATTATATTTAGACGTCTGATGTATCTAATTTTTAGGCCATCTAACTGAATTTTTCATCACTTTCACTTTTTATTGTTACAAGAATTTTGTATTGTTACGTGGAATTCTCACAGTATTTAGTACTGTTGAATTTATCGCTACCATTTTTGTTGAGATTTAAGTACTCTACGTTTCGTTCAATTTCGCATACCAATCGATGAAATATAAAACCTTAAAGAAAAGATATGCAAAAACAGTAATGCATTTTTAATATTCAAATTCCGACTTTTTGATATGTTTGGCCTTGTGATTTGTTTAGAATTCTCGCAGTGCCGAAAGTGTATTCTTGTATATATAAAATATTGTCTATAAAGGTAAAAGACGATAGGAAAACTGAATTATTAACCGACGCGTTTCGTCCAATGTGGACTTTTTCAAGGCGAAAACGAAATGAATTTATTGAAAACAAAGTAACTATTAACAACAAACAAAATGTACTTAGCAACTAGAAGAATTTACAAAACGCTATTTTATTGATATTGTCAACTGAAAATTACGTCAAGTAATGTCACGTGTGGAGATATTGTTTTTATTGTTGTGTTGACGGATTCAACCATTTTCTTTTGATTTCTTGATACAGCTGTATAGGTTGGCTAGGGAGAGTAGTAATTCTATTAGGAAAGGTGATATAGGGAAAAAGGCTGGGCGTAGATTAATATTTGGATAATATTCAATGGCGGCACTCTCGAGGATTTTCCTTCTGAGTGAGTAATTTTCGTTTTTATGAGTGTAACATTTTTAAAATCAAAATTGTGGTTGAATTTATTTCTCTGTATGACAATTGTATTAGTTAAGTTGTTTTTTGTGAGGTCTCTTTTGTCCTCATGCGTTTTGTTTTGTTTTTTTAAATTTCTACTTGTTTCTCCAATATAGTGGGAGGAACAGTTTTGGCAATTTATTTTCTAAATCCCTGCTTCAGAAATATTATTGCTATTAGTGTTTGAGGATCTGAGTATATCCATAATGGTTTTGGAAGTGTTTGTGACTATTTTAAGATTATTTAGACGGGATAGGTTGTTCTGGATAGTGACAGAATTGGTCGGTAGTATTATGTATCTGTTTTCATGTGATTTACTATTGAGGATTATGTTATTAGTTTTGTTTCGGTTGTATATTTTGTATGCCTTTCTTCTTGCGTTGGGGATGGAATTATATAGTTACTTTGTTTTCAATGAAAAGTGAAAAAGTCCACATTGGACGAAACGCGTCAGCTAATAATACAGTTTTCCTATTGTTTTTTTTTAAAACTTTATACATATAGTCTTTTTCTTCATGTTAACGCTGAGAAATTTTACATAAAATCTTTATACGATATTTTTTTTTTGCAATTAAAGTTATCGCTAATATTTTTGTCGAGATTTACAAACTCTATGTTTCGTTCAAGAAAGAGATGAAGATGAAATAAGCCAATTTGTTTGGAAAAACATTTTGACAAAAACCCTACTTCACAGTTTAATAATTTCTTTAATTTAATTTTATAGGACCTTATGACTTATTTGTCATTAAGTGAAATTAAGTTTATGGTAAACAATATTTTTAAGAGGATTTCTTTTTTTTTCCTTTTAAACAGCGAAGAATAAATTCATAGAATTTCTTACTCTTGAGCATGCAACATACAACTGGCCATGTGTAAATATTTCATTTCTGGAATCAATTTCCTACTTTTTGAAGGGTTAGTTCTTGTGATTTGCTTATTGTTCTCGATTATAGATCTGGATTCTTGTATATATAAAACTAAAAGATATGCGAAAAAACAATATTGCGTTTTTATTAAACGAGTATTTGTTATTTTAGTCATAAAATTGTTTTTTTTTTTAAATAGAGGGAGTATTTTGTATGTTGAATAAAACCTTTAATCTATCTAAAAACGTTAATGAAAATTTATTGTACTAAGCTACGCACCCGAGTAAAACCAAGTGTACTTTGTACCCACTTACCTGTTTGCACTTTTGCCAAAAAATTAGTGTCGATCGTTCAATGTATGGCTATTTTAGAGGTTGTGATGGGCTGATGGACGGACAGATTAAAGGAACTCACCTAATTTTATATATAGATTGATTATTTTTACAGTTTCTGCATTTTATTAGTGATAATTTGGGAAGGGAAGACATATGCTATAGGTTTCTGGAAATAAATTTATATAGGACTAGGAAAGTCTGTCTATATTTCTGAGATGAGGTATTATGTACAGTATTTACATTAGTCGGACTATTGTCCTCATCTTTGTCGCTATATTTGTCACAACGTTTCGGCCGTTGTACACTCCAGCCTTCTTCAGGTGGTTGGAATGTCGAACTGAACCCTTTAATTCGCTTACCGGGGTAGACTCTTCTAGTTCCACGTGCCATGTTTGATGGATGTCAGTTATCAGTTATCTCTTGCTAATTTTCCTTCTTAAAGTTCTCCACTGCCTTAACCAGGTATTGAGGACACATGGCACAGTGGATAAAGGCGTTGGTTAGATCCAGTGACGGACCCAAAGAAGGTGAGTTCAATAGCATCCGTCTACAAAACCGCTTAAACATTTTTTAACTCTTTCAAGGCTGGAAAATAAAGATTGAGTTGCTCCAGTCCAGATTTGGCAGCAATATAACAATATTTCGTCTAATCTGATGCTTGTCGTATATAAACCGTGGCAGGAGAGTCAAGTAATTTCTGGAACGGTATAAGGAGAATCTTTGTATGACAATAAACAACATTCGGCAACACAGCCTCTGATCGGAAGATTGGAGATCTTGATGAGCATGGAACGACCTTTTTATTACACTTGCTCCCAGTTCCACCATGACCCTGTGTGGTAACACCTTTTAGAATTCCAGCTACGGGCAAATAATGAACCCTGAAACAAAAACAAACTCTATAAAAATATAAAAATACATTCTTATAGTAAAAATATCAGCAATATATTTCTATCTAAAAAAAATTATCAGTAGTACATATTTATTGCAAAATTACCAACAATGCAATTTTAAAGCAAAATGATCAGCAATACATTTTATAAAAAAATTTAATGAGTTAAAAATATTTATATATCGGCATTAAATAATCAGAGGAGGCACGGTGGAGTAATGGATAGCGGCTTGGATTGAGGAATCGGAGAGCTGAGTTCGAATTCCAGTGGAATCCATTACATTCACTTACGTGCTAATACCCTCTTCTTCTCCCTCCAGCTATGAGTAAATAGCAGGATGTGGGAGGTAACGCAACAAATGATAGCAGGTAGGAACAAAGAAACCGGTGTCGCACGTCCAACCTTCTCACGAGCCGAAAGCTCTCTGATCCCAAACAGCAAAACGAGCCTGCTTTATACAGCCGAGGACCGACCACGATTTGCATGCGAATGACGAGACAACGAGATTTTGCGTTAATTAACAACCGAGACCGCCTGGCATAAAATATGGGCGCGGCCATTTTGGTTCCTTTTACCGTTGGGAGGACCGGAGTTTGCACACTGCACAGATGCGCACGCGTTTCCGAGGTAAGCCATTTTCACAATTTTCCCCACACTCCCCCCTGATCTCATGATCACAAACAGGGCAAGGAGGTGGCGATCGTCGCCGTCGAGTCCCCCTCCGAAGGGGGACAACACAAGTTTAATCCTCATGCGTGTTCTCGTCTGTGGTTTGAGTGTCGGTAAATACTGTGTCCGCCGGGAGGCTGCTGTTATCAGAACCACTGCCCTGCTGGTCTAACTCAAGGCAGATCGAACGCTCACTACTCTCAGACGCGGAATCGCTTTCATCGC